AATTTCCATGCTAAACTTCTTTTCACCGCGATCTCAACGTCGTATTAGGTAGTTGTTTCAGCGTCAAATCAACCAAAGAATTCAACTTTGCAGCAATTTAACGTCGTATTAGCAACATTGAGTGATGCATTGTAACGCCAGTACGACGTTTCATGAAAGATGTCGCTTAAATTTTCATTCTAAAACTCTTTCCACCCCGATCTCAATGTCGTATAATATGTAGTCGTTTCAATTTCGATTCAACCAGCAAATGCCTGCTGGGTTGTTTCAACGTGCCTTCTGCCGGACTTATCGGAGTGTTATGTTCGGCCAGCCAAAAGGCATCCCTAGCCTTGGAGTGCCCATGCTCCCTGCTGGAATATTGGGCGTGTTATGGTCGGCCAACTATCAGTAGTCCCTGGCTTTGGATTGCCAATACCCCTGTTGAAATAATGAGCGTGTTATGGTCGGCCGGGCATCAAGTGTCCCTATCCACTGAGACGTCGATGATATTTATCAGTGCAACTTTTAACGATTTTTGTGGCATCAGCCTGAGACGAGGCAGCTATGCTTACAAATGACCGGCGGATTGTTGCTCTATCGTAGCAAAATTAATATGAGACAATAAATTTTACATACTATAATGTTGGAGGAAAAATATGCCAACAATTGATAGACGAGTTGACATCAAGTAAAAAAAGCTCGAGTTAAGGAAACTCGCTCCTACGTTTTAAATATTACGAAACCTTCTGAAAATTTACGGTTCAGCAACGGCCATAAGTTGTTAGCACAAATTCCTCGCAAGTATTCCAACTCCATAACGCCCATAACTTGCTAACCAATATCTTGCTAGCCCATAACTTGCTAGCCCATAACCCCATAATCTCTTTGCCCTCTAAAGTTTTTAACCTCCATAAGCGGTATATTGGAGCGGTTTTAGTGGATTTTTTACAAGAATAAACTTTGCGAGTGTACCAGCAACGAAGGTATGATCCGCGGCCTCCGCAATTTATTGCTAGCAATAAATCATACGCGCCGAATGGTCCAACAAAATTGTATCACTAACGAATATTTGCACAATACGCCACACTGTTTAAACCTGTATTATACATTCCATTACTTGGTCAAATTCAATGTTACATATTTTTTGTAATGGCTTATGCTAGTGCGATAACAGATAATCAGACACCAACAGGAGCGATAGCATCGGCAGCCAAATATGGTCGTGGTATGCATGAATCAAAGACCAGACATTATATGAACGACATTACGTCAAGAGAAATATCCTGTAGACAGGATACTGAGCGGATACCAGCTCCTTACAAACTATATATAGACACCTCCATGTCCTGCAAAGCTCAGACGCTGTCCAGTAATTACAAGTCTCTTAGTTCTATGGTGACCTTTATTCTGTTGCCCCAATTCTCGTAAGTAATGCCCGTGAGTTCTACGTTAATCTAAACTTTATTACCCCATTTCTTGTACATTTTAAATTGTTAAAAAAACGGCAAAAAACAGTCTGATCAGCGTTTTATTGGTCGGCCGCCCCATGAAATAAAATAATGTCAGTTTTTTTTTCAAGTTAACATATGTAACCCGAAACATTGAGGTCTCGGCCACCGCATGGCCGGCCGCTAAAACGCCAGTCCGGCCGTTTTTACGCCATTTATTTAGGGCAGTATACGGTAACAGTAATTTCTTTATTCTGTTTCTGGTATTTGATTATTACAAGCTGTACAGTAATTTTATATCTATTATACATATTCACGTGTCTACTCCTTTAATTGTTTGGTACCACTTAGCGCCAGCAGAGATTGGTAGAGCAGTTGCTGGCGAGGACAGGCGTGAAATAAAAGTATGATCTATCTCTGGAATATGAATTACTCAAAATATTGTCATTACAATTATTTACCATCTGTGGTAAATAATCCTGATGATCCTGCTGTTTACCTGCCTGAACTGTTTGCCCTCGTCTATTTCCCTGTTCCATTAGGTTCAAATGGGGAACGTCACGTGGTGTATTTGATTGTTCTCAACGGCTGCCAAGCCAGGCGTGTCGTTAGAATGCTTGGGCGCGATAAAATATTCTTCGGTGCTTGCTGAAGAATACTTCTTGGTTACGAGAATCGTAATATCAAATGCATTCTTTCCTGTACATATTCACAGACTGTTCCAGAACTGCGTAGCCAAATGTTATCTGTACGTGCACCTCGGTCTCCAAGTTTGTTCATCAGAGCGCACCAGCAGCTATAGTAGCCACAAGCAGCATGTCAATAGTACCATGGAGATGACGCTGCCCAGGCGATGGTTAACTTACATTGCTAAAAATCATTGTCAGCTCCTGGAAAGACAGTAATTGGTCGAAAATAATTAATTTTACTGCCAATAATTGTCTGAAAAATTTAAAGCCAAATCCGAAGATTTGGCTTGAGTTTCCTAACGTGTCTCTCCGAACTCTGGACAAGAGCTGCTCTCAGATAATTGACGAGTCATATTGTCAAAATTATAGTGATTATCACCTGCTGCACTTACCACTGATACTCACATTTTCCTGGCCAAACTGGGTCAGGATGACCCACATAAAGACAACAAGTGCATCACTATTTGGACAGAATCTCTCATTTTTCTGAGTGTCTTCTCGTCTGCCGCGCGCTTGCTGGGTGTGGCCGACACGGCGCGGTCGGTCCAGCGGATGCTGGATGACGCGACCAGCGGCGGCTCGTAGCGCGCAGCTCTGGAGCTGACATGAGGTCTAGAAGCTGCCACAACTTGATAGGGACTAAATAATGGAGGGAGAGGATGTTTGCAGAAGAAAGATGTAGAAGTGGATGTAGAATAGAAGATGGAGGAGCTGGTGAGGTAGTGAATGATGATGTTACGGTGAATCAAAGCGGAGAAGATGAAGGAACTGAAGGAGGAAAGCATTTTCCTCTAATTGGAAAACTGTTAGATGGTGAAATGAGTAGGTGTGTGATAGGGATGAGATGGGCAGAAGTTGCGGAGTAGTGGAAGGTGGAGGTGTAAGAGATGGAGGATTAAGAGGTGGAGGTGCAAGAGGTGGAGGTGCAAGAGGTGGAGGTGCAAGAGGTGGAGGTGCAAGAGGTGGAGGTGCAAGAGGTGGAGGTGCAAGAGGTGGAGGCGCAAGAGGTGGAGGTGTGTGAGATGGAGGTGCAAGAGATGGTGTAAGAGGTGGAAGGGAGGAAGGCAGGGCCAGCAGAGGGGTGGAGGCGCCCGAGGCAGCCATAGGCCGCGGCTGTGGCGCACCTGCGCGTAATTACAGCGGCAACAGGTAGCGCAGCTGCCTGTGTTATTGCTGATCTTGCTCTCCGTGGTTGCTTCTCTGTTAATACCTCGGGTGTACAGCTATACGATGTAGTCTGCATATTGTGCAATAATTCAATATACATCGGCGTACTGTTGTACAGTATAAATTAAGAGTGTATTCGCGCTAAATAATCATTGAATCTACAGGTATAATTATTCATTCAAGTAATTTCAAGTCACAAAATACAATACGTAAAAACCACACAAATGGACGGGTCTTTCCTAACAAGCAAAAGACCGTTAATTAAAACAAGCAATTCCTGTAAAAACTAGCCGGGCTTCTCAACATCCCAACGTAACACGTCGGTCTTGACGCACCTTTATTTGTGATGCGCATCCTGTGAACAGGTTCTGGTGAGCTTATCTAAGCCTACCGAGCCTATAGGCTGGATGCCTAAACCCTTACTGATTGTGCCCGCCACTTGGCCGGAGTTCTAATGGCATTTGTTTGTGTTGATTCTATTACATGCCAAGAACCTCATCATTATATGTGCTATTTGCTCAAGCAACAGTCTTTTGAAATACATCAAATATTTATATATATCCTGAAGTAACCCGTTATCAACTAGTGGCGTATACGTGCTAGTAAGGATCCTATTCTTCAGAAAAATTGGTTATATTTCTTACTTCATTTAAAAAATTTTCTAATAATTGTACTCAAGTGAGAGGTCCGAAATCTTTGAAGTATTTCGAATTTTCATTTACCAGTACGAGAATGTGCTGTTTTATTTTCAATAAATTCTATTTCTATTGCATGCGGTAACTCGATAACAAAGTAGGAGGATAGACTGTAGTTGATTGATTGAGAAGTGGTCCCCATGAAGCCTAATTTCGATAAATTGTGATAATTCGGATTGTTTTGATAGTGACTGAAGCTAGAGCGGAAGCATCACATTTTCTAGAGAAGCACGGCTACCTACTTCATGAGTAGTAAGAATTGTAGGATCTTGTTTGCGATTGTTTTGTGGTTCATTGATACGGCCGAAATTTTGAAAAAATTGTCGAACGCAAAGTGAAATGCAAAGGCGCAGGTCCTGCAAAACTCCGCAACAAATTAAAGCAGTTTAATCGTTTAATAGCAGTACCTTTAAACAATATCTGGGTCCCCCAAGTATGATTTTTCACTTATAATTAACAAATAAATTTAAAGGGACGGCTACAGCTAGGCCTTAGTTTAGCTAGTGCGCCACAGGTACAGTTTCCCAGTGTCATGTCTCAAAGTGAGCTGAACTGCCCAACGCCCTCGCCTCCAGCGCCATGTATACAACGCTACTGCGCTGCCGCCACTTAACTCCAGGGCAGGTGGAGGAGCGTTAGGGAGATTTGTATGCGATATATCGTATGCGATGTAATTATACCGCGAAGATTTAAAGAACCATTTACACATTTGTACTGGTAAATGTATGTACTTCTTATCAGCAGTGTTGTTGTCGAAGTAAAGCACAAAATTTGGTACGACGTGACGGTAAGACAAGTCGCAACGCAAGGACGATAAATAAAAAGATGTAAAAATGATTAGAAACAAAGATACGAAGATTTCATTACACAAAAACGCTGGTATATGCGACATGGGGCGTTGATCGCAACTGATGCATGAATATCACGAGCAGTTCACGGCGCTCAATCTTGCGCTGGCCATAAAGAAACGAGCGAACAGACGATGTTTATAATTGCAGTGCTCGGTCGTACGTCAAGTCCTAGTTGTTGTCGTACGTCAAGTCGTACTTGTGGTTGTACGTCAAGTCATACTTGTGGTCGTACGTCAAGTCATAGTTGTTGTCGTACGTAAAGTCATAGTTGTGGTCGTACGTCAAGTCGTACTTGTGGTCGTACGTCAAGTCATAGTTGTCGTACGTCGTCATTCTTTTTGTCGTACGTCAAGTCATCCTTGTGGTCGTACGTCAAGTCATTCTTGTGGTCGTACGTCAAGACATTCTTGTGGTCGTACGTCAAGTCATTCTTGTTGTCGTACGTCAAGTCATTCTTGTTTTTGTACGTCAAGACATTCTTGTGGTCATACGTCAAGTCATTCATGTGGTCGTACGTCAAGTCATTGTTGTGGTCGTACGTCAAGTCATTCTTGTTGTCGTACGTCAAGTCATTCTTGAGGTCGTACGTCAAGTCATTGTTGTTGTCGTACGTCAAGTCATTATTGTTGTCGTACGTCAAGTCATTGTTGTTGTCATACGTCAAGTCATTCATGTTGTCGTACGTCAAGTCATTCATGTTGTCGTACGTCAAGTCATTCATGTTGTCGTACGTCAAGTCATAGTTGTGGTCGTGCGTCAAGTCATAGATGTTGTCGTACGTCAAGTCGTAGTTGTTGTCGTACGTCAAGTCATACATGTGGTCATACGTCATGTCATTCTTATGGTCGTACGTCAAGTCATTCTTGTTGTCGTACGTCAAGCCACACTTGCGCTATAACGAGTCGTATTCTCGTTTAGCGCGGGCCATGCCAGCTCGTAAATACGGCGCTGTCACGGCACTCGTGTGTGCCTTCACTTTACGAGCAACGCCTGTGCTGATGTTGATGCTATTGATGCTGTTGATGCCGTTGATGCTATCGAAGCCGTTGATGCCGTTGTCGCTGTTAATGCTGTTGATGCCGTTGATGCCATTGATGCTTTTGATGCTGTTGACGATATTGCTGTATTGCTTACATGCAGAGGCAGGTCTCGGTCAAGTCTACAGGGCAGGTCTCGGTCAAGTCTACAAGGCAGGTCTCGGTCAAGTCTACAGAGGCAGGTCTCTGTCAAGTCTACAGAGGCAGGTCTCGGTCAAGTCTACAGGGCAGGTCTCGGCCCAGTCTACAGGGCATGTCTCGATCAAGTCTACAGGGCAGGTCTCGGTCAAGTCTACAGAGGCAGGTCTCGGCCTAGTCTACAGCGCAGGTCTCGGCTTTAAGTCCCGCTAAGTTTCTACACTGAACACCAATCGTGTAAATGCGATGTGTATCTTCACTACTAATCGTACCAAAGAATTCTACTGCGTTTTTGTACGATGGTGTGCGTAAATTATTGCGTACTTACAGCTAATGTGTACGCAATGTATGCGTATTGTAGAATGCGCGCAATGTACATTCGTTGCGTAGTACGTAGAAAATGACATGTCTTTCACGTTCGAGCAATAACGGTTTATTGCGACTTTTTTAAGAGCGGGCACGTAAATTATTCATGTATAGATGAGTTTTGAATATTGTTAATCAAAACTTCAACTGTGGACGACGATGAAACTTAAGTTGTCGAATGATAATGAACTTTAAGTGGAACGCTTCCTCTTTAGTGCTAGGCAAAACTTATTCGTATTGTGAACGCAATACACAATATTTTACCCTTCCCTGATAGAATTTGTTGAGCCTTTTATTTAATTCCCTGCTGTCCTGAGATAGAAACTACGGCGGAGCGAGCTTGCCCTCGACACGAGAATTTGGCTTAAGAAGCTTTTATTGATAGGCTTAATTTGTGATGTTTACTGGAGACTTGGTTGTTTGTAGCTACGCTCAGAGGTATGGTTAAATAAACTGCTGATAATTCTTGATTACTGCGCACTAATGCTTGACAACTGCGCACTATATAATGCTTGATAACTGTGCACTAATGCTTGATAACTGCGCATTAATGCTTGATAACTGCGCACTAATGCTTGATAACTGTGCACTAATGCTTGATAACTGCGCACTAATGCTTGATAACTGCGCACTAATGCTTGATAACTGCGCACTAATGCTTGATAACTGCGCACTAATGCTTGATAACTGCGCACTAATGCTTGATAACNCCTGAGAAAATGTCATATCAGCTTGTGTTGCTTGCGGAAAGGTTGCGGAAAACAAGTCACTTCTTGTTGGATAAAATGACTCACTAAATTTTCTGAGTGTGGAGCCACGAGTTGGCGATAAACACTGAATTCTTCTCGTAAATTCCTTCAGAAGCGCATTTCCCTCGCGCTTCCCTCAGTACGGTTGAGGGGAAGCAAACAATGCTGGTCTGAGGGGGTGTCTTATCTGGTCCCTCGTAAATTGTCGTCTCGGGTTAACTTGATGCGCTCGTCTGCACAGGCGCTCTAGAAAAAAAGTGTGTGCACGCTGTTGAAATTTTGCGTGGTGTACATGTGGCCATGGTTGGCCAACGATAAATCTGCCACGATACGGTATCAATTTCTCCGTAGTTAGAAACGTACCGCGTTACCCAGTTGAAAATAAGGGAAAGTTAATGGATGAAAGTTGAATAGCTGGTAGTCCTGTCTCTTATACACATCTAGATGTGTATAAGAGACAGCTATTGACCATTTAGGTCACTAATGACCATTTAGGTCGCTAATGACCATTTAGGTCACTATAATGACCATTTAGGTCACTAATGACCATTTAGGTCACTAATGACCATTTAGGTCACTATAATGACCATTTAGGTCACTAATGACCATTTAGGTCACTAATGACCATTTAGGTCACTATAATGACCATTTAGTTCACTATTGACCATTTAGGTCACTATTGGCCATTTAGGTCAATAGTTCGCATTAAGCGCACCACATTTAATATGGCCGCTAAATGCGGCGCTGAAGTTTAATTTTTGTCCCGTATAAGGCAGGACGGCGAGGTAATATTATAAGTTTCTTCAATCACTGTATAAATAACAAGCAGATATCACTATTTTCCTTGCAGTTACGTGTATATTAGGCTAATATCTTACACGCGTCAAGTTTTTACATGCAGAACCAGCCAATATCTTAATTTTCACATGTATTTGTAGAGATATTAAACTAAAACCTTTATTTTATCAGGTATATGTAATGATGCATATAATATAGAGACAATATCTTAATTTTTTAAGTCACTTGCATCGATCTCATACAATTAAATATGAAAAAATAGCCTCATCTTGCCACGAAATTTAGGACTTTTTCTCAGAAAACGAGTAATATTTTTATGTTCATATAGACATATATTAACATAATAATATTACTGTGAGATAATAAAATTATCTCACATATATACGCCTAGAAATCAATCTCATTTGATAAAAAATGTTCGCTGGACAACGGATGAATCATTAACGGCTGACTGTTTGCCGGCCATGGTAAGGCCTTAATTTTCAGCCTAAAATTCTATATTCATGTAAAGTGTGAAAAAAGTAGCTCCTACATTCTTATTAACGGTCGTTTGAAATGTTGTGAACACGCACGGGTTAGAGAGGACGACAGGACCTTGGCTGCATGAGTATTCATTAATTTATAAACAAGAAGAACATGCATTGTATATTCCGATTTGTGTGACCATAAAAACACGTTTACTTGCAACTAGTTAGAAGCATGACTCTGCAAATTACTATGCGGAAAGATTAAGATTGATAGGGCGACTGTGACAGCGTGAAGAATCTCAGCTAATAAAGTCGACAGGTTAATCAGTTCACTTGCAATGCTATTTCTACCTGAATTGTCAGGAAGCCTTTGATGCCCATGCGGATGAATCGTTTATTAAATCAAATACCTAAAATGTAATTAGCCCTTCTTTTTATCAAGTTCGAAGTGCTATTTATAACTGTACAGTAACATAATTCTTTCGTGAAATAATTAAATGCTGCATTTGGAGTCTTGAAATTACAATTTGCGACACGCTTTTCCTGTCAGATTTAAGACCGGGAAATAGATGACAGGGGAAGAGATAACTGCTGTACAATTGCACGGATGTGTACAGTAGCGTGTACATGTACTTGCCACCGGTATGTGCAGCTGCCTGTCTCAGTTAACGGATGGCAGTCTCTATGTACCGCTGATGTATATCGTGCAGTTGCCGCAGCTACATTACCTACTTCAACGCTTCATGCAAAGCGGAAGACTTCCTTGCATTGTGGAGTTATGTATACTTCATTTCGTGACTATTATAAGGCTGAAATAATTTCATATAATTGAAATAATTTCCATACGAGTGTCATGTGATGGGAAACGTATTCACAACAATCAAACTGCAGTGCTTTACAGGATTTGGCTCAAGTTGCCCACACGGTAACTTGGAGTATTATTTTCTGGATCTTAACACCTCTTCACAAACTGTAGTTTGTGAATAGTTAACTACGATCAATGTAGCGCTTCATTTGGCGGTTCAGCGGAGCCATGCTAGAAATATTTTCGGTTACCGCCGCACTATCATGTCAGTCGTAATTTGCTTTTGATATTTATATTTTGATATTTATATATAATTGATATTTATTTTGATATTTATATATAATTTTTGTGATGAAGGTCATGTCACATGAAGGTAAATCATCCATGGCCTCTTCGAAATCTTTACTGACGATACGGCAAGTTACTGAATGTCAGCCTGATTACTGATTATTCTACTGAAACGTTGTATCATCAGCCGATAAATGAGAGCCGGCAAGTTGCTGTTGATTCTATTGAAATGTTGCAACGGTTAGTTCGTTATCGCCTTAGGTTAATTTTGATAACTCTCTTCACACAGTGTATATCAGTTTCTCCGACGTAGATCCGGGCACTTCAGGGCTGCCGCAGCGCCCAATTTATTATGCACAGACGAGATCTTATTAGTATCTTATTATTATGCGCATTTATTATTCACAGACGAGAAATTCATTATTCTGGTCAGAATAAATCTTTCTGACTGTCGGTTTATAACCGGCCTACAATATTGTAACCGCTCTTTGAGATACCGACGCACGTGCGTTAATTGACGCGGCGCAGAAGCGTTACTGTGTCGGTGTCAGGGAGTGTGTCGCTGTCAGGGAGCGTGTCGCTGTCAGGGAGTGTGTCTGTGTCAGGGAGTGTGTCGCTGTCAGGGAGTGTGTCGCTGTCAGGGAGTGTGTCGCTGTCAGGGAGTGTGTCGGTGTCAGGGAGTGTGTCGCTGTCAGGGAGTGTGTCGCTGTCAGGGAGTGTGTCGCTGTCAGGGAGTGTGTCGCTGTCAGGGAGTGTGTCGCTGTCAGGGAGTGTGTCGGTGTCAGGGAGTGCATCGGTGTCAGGGAGTGTGTCGGCATCAGGGAGTGTGTCGCCGTCAGGGAGTGTGTCGCTATCAGGGAGTGCCCCTGAGAAAATGTCATATCAGCTTGTGTTGCTTGCGGAAAGGTTGCGGAAAACAAGTCACTTCTTGTTGGATAAAATGACTCACTAAATTTTCTGAGTGTGGAGCCACGAGTTGGCGATAAACACTGAATTCTTCTCGTAAATTCCTTCAGAAGCGCATTTCCCTCGCGCTTCCCTCAGTACGGTTGAGGGGAAGCAAACAATGCTGGTCTGAGGGGGTGCCTTATCTGGTCCCTCGTAAATTGTCGTCTCGGGTTAACTTGATGCGCTCGTCTGCACAGGCGCTCTAGAAAAAAAGTGTGTGCACGCTGTTGAAATTT